TGACCGTATCACTAATCTCATCACAACATGCTTCACTTTTAAACAGTTGGGCAGTGCGGCTGTTGAGAGAGAGTTTCGTAAAAATGGACGCTTTTCAGAGTCACAACTAGATAAAATTTCATTACGAGAGAAAGGTGATCCTCTTAATACAAAGAGGCTAGTAGCACTACTGAAGCATCTTTATATTGTTGCTGGTCCTATGAAAGATAAAGCTGGTCAAAAAACTGTCAATTATTACTTTATGCCTTGTGCTTTAAAACCAGCAGATGTGGAAAGAGAGGAGAGAGATGGGTCAGTTAGTCCAGCTCCTTTATTGATATGTTTTGAGTGTGGGTATACTCCTGTTGGTGTATTCTGTTGTCTAGTAGTGTATCTTCTAGATCAGAAGACAGACCAAGTATTGGAATGGAAGTTAACTGGTAATGATCAATATCGTAACAGGATTACCTTTCAAGTTGGTCAATACTATGATACTGTTACCTTAATCAGTCGTGCTACTTATCTTGAAATTTGGGTTCAGCAACAAATGAGTCCCTCACTAAATGATCTTAGTGATAAGATATTGTCATCATTACACAAAGGACTGGACACAGTCACACAATCACTCCATTACACTTACAAGTCAAAGCATATGTTTGGAGTACCATGTACATGCACTGGAGTACCTCATCCTGCTGTAATAGAGCATTGTTCAGAAGGAGCTAAGTGTACTAATGGTAACTTATTGAAACTTGGTGAGAAACATTTGTACTGGTCCAAGAAGGTAATAAGAAGTTTATTGTTTGTTTACATAATTTGGCCATAGGTTGTTGATCTGAATACTGGAGCTCAAAAATCTAACAAAAGCCAACCATCTGGTAATGTAGCTACAGAAAATGAAAGTGAGTTTTATCATTCTTGTCTATATTAATAAACAATATTCTCATGCAGTTCTTCCAGAAAGTATTTTTCAAAGCCACTTAGCTGATATTACTAATGCAATTTCATCAGATGTTACACGTGTTGCTGTTGATCTTTGTACTAAATTTTTACTACCCACATCTTTAAAGAATGATCTTTCATCGCTTCTTGGTGTATCTGACTTTGACAAAGCTAACAAGATCACTAGCTATATTCACAAGCATATAATATCTAATTCTACAGTTGAAGCTGCTGAATATCTCACCACTGTTTGTAATGTGTTGTATCAAAGAGATGACATGAGATTAAGAAAAATTATTGCTGATATCTGTAAGGAATTAGGCAAACCAATTCCAAAAGGTATGAATTATGTGTTATGGTTATGTAAATATTTTTGTTAGGCAACAAAAAAACTAAAAGTAAATCTTATGCTAGTAAGAGAGTACATGGTACTGCAGGAGGAAGACAACCAAAAGATATGCAAGGTACATGTATATGTCACAATTAATGCAACATTTAGTAATTGAATAGGAGAAATGTCAGTAAATAAAAGGTTAAAATTATCAGAACTATCTGTAATTGATGATGAATCACAATCTTCAAACAATACTAGTAGTGTATTGGGAGTTAAAAGACACAGTGAAGATGAATCCTCTGAATCTGTTTTAACAAATAAGAAACAAAAATTTATCCAAAGCTCGTCAAATGAAGTCATCAGTTTATTGTCTGATGATGATGATGTGCTAATACTTGATCCTCCTTCTCCTTTAGATAAAGGATATGGTAAAAGATCAACTGGAAATAAACCACACAGAAGAAAAACTGGTTCCAAGAAATAATGTAAGCCAAAAAACATTTACATTGGATCAGCTTTAATTCCACTTGTAGGTACTAAATGTTAACAAAATAATACTCTTCTACTTGGTATAACATGATCCTCCTGTCACTTATAATACACAATCCCTTGTCATTATACTTTTGTCACTTAACATTAATTTTTTGTTTATAAATCATAAAACAATACAATTTTGACATTAAAAATATTAAATAGATATCATTATAATCATAATAGTCATTTCACAAATCATTTCTTGAAGGAGGAACAATCTAAAACAAAAAGAAGATAAATACATTATGTCCTCTTGACCATCTCATCCTCTCCCTCTCCTCAGGATCCATTATTCTCTCTCCCTTACCTTCACTTGTTGTCACCTCCTCCAGTTGTTGTTGTTGTTGTTGTTGTGTTATTGTTAGAGACAAACTGTATTGCTCTAAGTGATGGCTTGATTGGTGTGTCCAATAAACACTTCATTGCATACCATTTACCTTGAAGCTACAATAAATACAAAATATATAAATTATAATAATACATGAAAATTTACTATGGAGGATCATGCACAGTTTTAACATTAAAAACTCACTTTTTCATTCTTC